TGTTGAAAATATTGTATCACACCGAAACACATTAGAAGTGATAGTAGAACTAATATAGATGGGCTTGAATGAGTGATTAACCATATTGATAGGAAATTCTTTGCTCGATCACAACACTACATTATGCAAGAAAGAAATAAAGACAGTCCTTTAGCTGCACTGAAGGTCTGTGTCGATTTTATTCGCTTGCAGGAAACCAAGATGTCATGAGAGGATATACTCAATAAATCTCTTCAAATTCATCAACCATTAGGAACTATATGTTTATTTGATACACAAATTAATTATTTTAATATTTTTCTCTAGTTTGTTCTATAATTCACTTAAATACGTAATTTTTTGTTCAATAAAGGGTCGTTTGTATTCTGTCTTATACCTTACAAACTACTTATGTAAAAATTCGCATAATTGGGCTAGTGTTCTAGTCCCGATTTGCGCCAAGTAACCGGAATCTACTGTATTCGTTTCCAAAAAACCTATTCTGTCTACCTTCCTGGAGATAATTTTCCTGGTTTTAGTGCAGCAAAACGGATAACTATGCCTATATTCTTAAAGGAATCCGTTTCCATACTTTTTAATATCTGGGTGGCGATCCGAAAAACAAAAAAACAGAATTTTGTGGGGATAAAAATGGGAGAATTCATAGTAAATGAAATCAAGGTTCGACGAAAACTCATTAAAAGGGTTGCCTCTGGTTGGCCGCGAGTAGTTGTTTTTAGACAAGAATTATACCAAAAACAAGAGTAAAGATGAAATATCATTCTGTTCAACAGGATTCCCTCTAACACCGAGTGTGAAGAAATGCCTTCGCAAGTGTGACATGATAATGTGATCACCTTTATTGGATTAGCACCGCAGTTGCACAGTTCCCACCTGAGGTAACTTATAGGAATTTCCACAGTTACATAATGGTGAGGGCTGAAAGTCGATTTGTGAATTAGTTATTAAGATGCACCAAATGTATGCTAAGTAGGATGAGGTCTTTTCGAATTTTAGGTGCATACGACTTTGCATAGAATTCCAATGGGCTTTCTGATACCCCATAAAAGCCCACCGGAGCCCCTTTAGAATAGTTTTGCAGCGTCGGCTAGTACATATTAGTTTCAATTATACATCTTTTAAGCATTTCCTCATGGTGTAACCGATGCATTCCTATAAATGACCTTACGTTCCAACATACCAAGATAGATGGCTAAAATTGTCAAAAGTTTTATCTTACAGAATTTCGAATTCGCCGAACTAAAAAAAGGTTGATCAAAGACTCTTTACCCAAGATTCTTTAATTGTAAACAAGACCCAAACTCAAACTCAAAGCAAATCCCGTGTAAAGCAAATAAAATTAAAAAAAAACAGGTACCTTCTCTCCTTGGTTGATCTAGTGACATCGCCTCGAAGGGTTAGGTGTTCACGTTCGTGCTTCTCTTCGGAAGTCCTCGATTCCATATCTAGCAGCAAAGAATCCAAATGAGGCATGTGTACTATCGAGGGGCAAGATTTTCCGATTCGATGTAATGGGCTGCTAATCACAGATTGCGTAGCAAGAGCTGAAAGACTATAAGTTGGTGGTAAGGGCTGCGGCAAGGGGGGACGTGAAAGAGAAGCTTCACGATCTATAGCAGCAAGATAGCTGGTGTCCAATGGCTCAGTAGACGGCGTGGTGCAAAGGATCAAAGGTAAGACAGTGGAAGTGGTAGAGCAAATAAAGTTAGTGCCCGCCTCAGAATGAGGCTTGATTACCTCAGGATAACAGTCAGAGACGACAGAAGTAGGTGATAGAAAGCTTTGAGCGGTAGAAGCGGGATGTGATGGTGCATATTTAAGGTTCTTCAAAGGCTCCATCTGAATGCACTGGAATAAGGGGAGAATTAAGTCAAGAGCTAGAGATCATCCGAAGGAGAAATATAAGCATTAAAAAGCAGCGAAAATAAAATAACTGATTTAATAGCGATAATAAGATAACCTGGAGTGAAAACATGAAGCCGTAGATTTGGCCACATTTCGAGCATATAAGATCAAAAGAAGAATAAGACATTTGCCAAATTTAAATAAAAAGACGCTAATAGGATGAAAGAACGAAGGAATTAAGTAAAGGGACAAATGGAAGATAGGACCACTCAAGAAATGTGGATTGGAATATACATACATATACATATTTGTGGATTTCTGATTTATATAAATCATATGGGCGATCATAATGGAAAGATAAGTAGAATAGTGCGAATAAGTCCTCGGCTCACCGTCCTGCGACCCCAATGAAACTGTGCTCAGCGGTCGTCTGTACTATGACAGACATCATCAGAGGATGTATCCATACTTCACAAATAGAGCAAAAATGTACTAAACCAAGAGAAAAGGTAGCCGGTTACAACCCGAGTCGCTTTTTATACAGCTAAATTCGCGGTCTTAATGATGCCTCTCATGATCTGGTTGGCTACTTAAACCTTACTCTACATGCTTGCAAATGAGTGAAGCTACTTCCCGAACCGGAAGTGCATTCGGTGGCAGCTGTTTCCTTACACATTATCAAATGCGATCCTCTAATGTTGAATCACATTTGGGCTTGTGCTATTGTGTATTGTGTGTATCTAATGTTCATATCATGGAAAGTGTGATAGTCCTAGCTAGACTCTAGGCTAATTTCTATAGACTCCCTAATCTTACGCTTTGATGTGAAGTCCTCTTTACCCACGAAACGTTGTTTTGGACCAGTTCATTGAGCGGCCTGTATTGACTATATGTTCATATAGCTCAGATTTTTGAACCCATATACCTCTACAAGCGGTTTTGTGTTCCCATAGTCTCTTATGTGAACTAACTAATAGTGAGAAAAGTAAATGATAAGACAGGTTTTAGGTTAATAAAGTGAGCATTTCCAGCATACTAGAAAGGAAGAAAAGCCAGTGGGGAGTGTGGTTAGGTCTCAGTGCCTTAAAAAGAGCACAGCACTGGAATAGAGATATGAAATGAGATAAGTGTCTCAGGAGAGATACCACAAATGTTCACTAATAAGTTTGGCAAAGGAAAGGAGAAGGGTTCACCTGTCTATTTGGCGAGTTGAAGTTTTGCACTAAGAATGGCGGGAGGAAACCTAGTATGACGCCTGCAAAGCGTCTGGGAATGTGCCGAGTCAATGATCCAACGAAGGTATGAAGACCAAGATGGTGTGGCC